AATTTATATAAATTTGTAATATATAAAACAACGGTGTGAGAAAATAAATAAAATTTTAACGGCTTAATTATATGTATATATATAATTTAAAAATTGATTTAATAATTGCTTGATAAAAGAATATGAATATAACAATTTATAAAATTACCGTGAATTTAGTTGTTCTTTTTTTTTTCTTTGATGAAATATAAAAAACATTTTTAATTGAAACATTTTTTTTAATATTCATTTTAGTAAAATGTGCTGACAGTTGAAGCAGCGCTGACGTCATAATAAATTAAGATACGTCAATAGTATGTCCTTTTACGCGATTCGGATTTTTCCGTTTTTTTCCGGTTAAATTCGTCCCCTAATTCGGTACCATTTTTTTTTTTATTTTGCTATTCATAGATGAGAACGGACTGGAATGGTGCCCAATTGATTCCTTAACCGTCAAATTAGTCAAAAACAGTGCTTTTATTATTATTATTATTATTATTACTTTTTTTTCAGGAAACTGTTTTTAATTAATAAAGTTTTATAATATTTTTTATAATGGAACTAATTATTTTAGACATGAGAATAAATTTTACAATTTATAAATTCATTTTAAAAACATTGGAAATGCAACAACGTACAAAGGATAATATTATGGTGAATGATTTTTTTTTTTTAATTTTCATATAATTTTATATTTTGTTTACAATAATCGTACTCGTAATAAAAAAAAAATAACGTTTAAAACTTATTATTATTATTATTACGATAATTTTTCGTTTTTAATAAAAAAAGTTTTTCAAAAAAAAAAAATGAATAACGGTTTTTTTCTGTAATATTCACTATCGAAATTTAAATTTGACCAAATATTAATAAAAAAAAGAAAATTACCTGACAAAAATAATAAAATATCAACAATATTATTATTATTTTTATCGTATTGTTATTAATAAATTATTATTATTTAATTAAGTTTTAGACGTTATAAAATTTGACGAGTTACAATTTCATGTTAGTCCGCCATTAAAAACTTTTTATTACGTCACAATTACGTCATGAAATTTTTCTCCAGATTTTTCTACACCGACATTACTGTTATTACGATTGAATTTTTTCTTTTTTTTAATTAAAATCACTAAAAATATTATTAATTAAATCCTTAATTATTGCTTTTTTTCCAGCAGAAGATTTCCGTTAAAATTTAAATCAAAGGATTATATTAAATCGGAAAAAAATGATAACGTATATTTACCATCCACGCATTTTATTTGATGTTAAACCACCATAAAAATAATAATAATAATAATTTTAAAACTTTGGAATGAGAATAATGGAGGAAGGTATTTAAGTCATCACAAGTCAAATAATTAAAATAATATAAAATGTACAATTATAAGGACAGAACAAAATATAAATTTTGTATGTTGAAGGTATGGATATAAAAATTTATTCAGGTATCAATTAATAAAATTATTTATTAGACATTTTTTTTGATTAATAACTTTTATTTTATTTTAAAAACAGGTTTTACTAATAGAAATCAATCAACGTGATTGTTAACCCTCGACTTTTTTATCCGTTTTGACTACATAATTTAGAAATATTTAATAAAAAAAGATACCATCAAATCATTGTTTGTTTGTTTGTTTGTTGAATTCGACATAAATGATTTAATTTTATGAGAAAAAACAACCGTATTTAAAAACTGTACGTATTTGAATTAGTTTTATAAGGTTTGAAAGTTCTTTTATGATAACAAACAATTTTATTTGTTCTAGACTAACAACAATGACACCCTTGTTTAACCTAATCGAAAAAGGAATCGAGGCAAAAGGCAATGGCGGATATTTTTGTTTTTAAACAAAGTTCACAGTATTAAAAGGTTTATTTTCACCGATGAAATGCACACATAACAATCACGAGAAAAGGTTTCAAGGATTGTCATCATTAAATGTCAATATAATTATACCAAATGAGGATGTTGTTTGTTATGACCACATTATTGCTACCACGCAGCAGAAATATTGTGTCACATCGTGGGAGCCCCACTGACACCACCTATCTTTCGAAGAATATTGTTATATTTCTTTTAATTATATATATAAATAGTTTTAAAAAAAGCATTCGAAGCATAATTTAGTCTATATGAAAAAAACATTCGATAATAATTACCGAAGGAGAGGGAGGGGGGGGGGAAATATTTGAAACGTTTCAACTTTTGATAAATTTATACACAACAACAACAAACGAATCTATTAATTAATTAAATGTCAACATTATGATGTGGAAAACATCAATTAATGTTATTCAATGTTATCGAAAAACATTTCTTATCAGTCGTGTAAAAACTGATAAATACATAATAAAACATTTAATAACGATATTATTTGAAAAAAATATAACTAACTGTTGTCATTAATTTCAATTTGTTTTCTTGTCATAAGAATTTTTAATATTATTTAAATTAATTAATTCAAGTTTAATTTTAATAAATTTTTAAAGTCGCATCGACTACTTAATGATGTTTAATAAAATTTACCGTTAAAAATTTATTTTTTTTAAAAATAAAAACTCATTTGAAAAAATTAAATTGAAATAAATTATTTAAAATAATTTGATGCGTATGAAATTTTATTTTTTTTACGAAATTCACGGATTTGGATACACAAATAATAATAATAATTATTAACAATCGGAATTAATTATCATATTTATTTATTTTTTATATAAAAATCTTTTTATAAAATAAAATAAAAAAAAAAAGTTATTAACAGTTGTCTGTTAACAAAGCGCAACAGGTAGGCAATTTCGATCATAAATTTTATTTAAACGTGAAATAAAAACAGATTAATAATTAATTAATAATTCGTGATAATTAAGAATAAAAATTGAATTTATTGTTATCGACGAAACCTTAATTAACCTATTAAAACCAAAAATTTACAATATACCTCAACTTTAAGAATTAAAATAACGTCATTTTTTTTATTGTTTATGTGAAATTTGTCGACGGTTGGGGAAAAAGGGGGAGAAACGTGTCGCGCGCGTGTGTTTATTAAGCAAATGGCGAATGATTATAATTAAGTTGTTATTTATTTCAATTAAAAAATGTGTTTTAGATAAAAAAAAGACTCGATTTTATTATACAGGTAATAATCAAATGTAAAACAAATTTCTTCTTATTAAAATGATGGTAAAATATAAATAATTAATAAAGAAATTAACGCGTAAAATGTGGGAAAGGGAGGGTGAGGAAGGATTATTGATGAAAATTTAAAAGATTTACAAAAATTAAGGGTAATCGACGACAACAAGGGGAAGGGAGGACGAAATTGCGCAAAAACTGGTCAGACGAATCAATAAATTTACATTCATGCGCATTTAATAACGTGTGCGCAAATTCCGAGTTCTCATTTTTTTTAATAAACTTTGATTGCGCTTTTGCGCACTCCGCCATATTAGTTTCGTTATTCATTTGAATTGGTTCGGAAACGTGTATTACTGTATTGTTATTTTTTTCTTTTATAATTCGTCGTCGGTTTATTAAAACAACCACCAAAACGTTCAACGTATCAAATTACGCACACGCACACACGCACACGTACGTAAACAAACGATAAACATTATATTTTTTCTTTAAAATTAATCCGTCAGCTATTTTTTATCAAGGCACACACACACACACACAAAAAACTCAACGCATTCCTTTTTTATTCTTTTTCTCACGTCATCAACGACGACGACCGCGTCATTTCGTAACGGACAAAACTAAATAATAATAATAATAATTTTGTCGTTTCGCACTAACAAACGAATTTTAACAATTAAAAATTTTATGTCGTCGTCGTCATTATTTTTTTTCTTCCGGTTTTCTGTGATGATAATATCAACTTTAAAAAAATAAACTGATAACGTGAATTAAAAAAAAAAAAAAAAGAGAAAAAAACGTTAAAACGATGATGAGTGAAAACGTTCCTTTGAAACAAAGTATCCGATTAATTTTTTTGTTTATCGTCTGCTTTCCCCTCCCCCTCCTTCTCCCTCCTATCCACGTTTAACCGCATTCTATTCCCCCCATACCACCGGGATCATTTCAAACGTTTTCCCTCCCCTTCTTTTTCGCAAACAAACCGCGGCTGGTCCGCCATTTTTAATTTTTTTGCGACAATTTTTTTCTTTTAATGTTTACCTTACGTGATTATTTGATTTTATTTTGTTTTAAATCCACCATTTCGTACTACTCGATATAAACATAAACAATTTATTTATTTATTAATAAATTATTAATCACAAACAAACGACAAACGACAAACAATAACAAACACAAAACGTAAAAAAATGTCGGGATTATTAAACTACGCGAAATAAATTAAAAAAAAAAAAAAAAAAATTTATTTTTAGTTTTTCTTTGTTTTTTAAACGTTAGCTGCTAAATCTATCAAAATTTAATTTTTTCGTTTGTTTCTGTTGTTTGTTTCGTTTTTTTTTTTTTTTTTTTTTTTTTTTTATTCCCTTTTTGGGCCAAGATTGGTTGTTACATAAAAAAACGTTTCGATATTTATTTCGTTAAAAAAAAAAAACAAAAAAAATTTATCTAAATACCCGTTAAAAAAAAAAAGGAAACGATTTGAATATCTGATTAATGCAAAAAAATTTTCTTTTCTTAATTAATTATTTATTATTCTCGAAAGGTTTTCTTTTCTTTTTGACGTCAAAGGTTCGAAACGTAATTTATGTCAAGGTTTTTTTTTATAAGTCACATTAATGCCACCGTAATTACCATCGATTTTTTTATAAGAAAAAAACGTTGGAACTAATTTTTTAGTTGGTCGCCATTTTTAAAAGGAAAAAAAATAAAAATTTTTAATAATTTTTAAAAAAAATTTTTTTTCGCAGGTAAAATAATAGCTTAAAATGATTTATTATGAAAACGTGAAGAAAATAATAAATTCGTCGTTCGATCAAGAATAATAATAATAATAATAATAATAATAAAGACGTTTTATTTAAAAAAATTGGGGAAAATGAACATAACGCTCGATCCTAAACAATTTAGAATTGAAAAAACGACGAGAGGAGCGCCATGTTTGATATTTGAAAATTATAAATTTCGATACGGGAATAAAATGAAAGATGAAATACGTTGGAGATGTACAAACAAACTTTGTAAAGCAACAATAAAAACAAACGAAAAAGGAATAACGGAAAAACGAACGGTTCACGATCACGAACCCATGAACGAAAGACGAACGGTTAAAAAAAATACAAAAATGATCGAAAGGTTAAAGGTCAAATCCTTTATGTTACCCACAAATAGTAATTATAAAGATGTCAAAGGTAGGTGAGAAGTTTTCACAAATGTATGTGCAAACCGTTTTTTGTGACGTCATCAAACAATCGTTTTTTTTTTTTTTTTTTTTGTAGGTGACGTCAAAGAACAATTTATTAAACCGAAAACTGATAAAATGGCGGCTACGATAGCTCCAAAATGTTCTTCTTCATCTCTACCAGTTAGATTCATACCTGGAGAATATCGTACCGTACCTGGAGAATTATTAGTCGTTAAAGATAGATCGAATCATTTTATGGATTTATTACGTAAGTAATAATTTTTTTTTTTTTTTTATCGCGTAAAAAAGCGAATTTTTTTTGGCAAATTTTTTTGTCTTATGGATGAAAAATATTTCTGGCCACGTTTTTATATGTCGTAACCTAAAAACATTTGAAAGAGAGAGAGAGAGAGAGAGAAATTAAATTAAATTTGAGTTTTTTTTTTTATTATTTAAATTTTTTGATTCGTTCACACACGAAAATTTGCAATAAAATACAATAAAAAAAAGAAAAAGGAAAATTCGTTTTAAAAAAAATATTGATTTTTATATTTCTAATGTGCCTAATTTGTCATAGAGAAATAATTAATGTGAATTTTTATTTATTTATTTTTTTTGGAAATGATTTTCTAAACGTAATTTGAAATTAATGAGTATTTTATAATTTTTTATTTATTTTAAATAATAATAATATTTTTTTTTAATCGGTTTTACAATCGTAAAAGTTCTTATAAAATGAATTTTGAATTTTAACGGTTTTTAGCGTTACGTTTAAAATTAAAGTGGCATTAGAAAAAATTTAGTTTGGTAAAAAAAAAAAAAAAAACGCAACGAAATCTACCGGACGTATCGTTACCCATTTGCTAAACACTGTTTTCGTTATACTCCGATTGGTACGATTCATAAGCGGTAAAAAAAAAGCGCGAAGTTGATGTTAATATGGCGGCATAAAAGTGTTTTATGTGTTTTGTTTATGTTCCATTATTGAAATATTATTTATAAATTGTGCAAAAAAGGAAAAAGTTTTATATTTTTTTTATTTGTTTTAATGTGATAAATCATTTCAAAACAAAACTACAAGTTTGCCGTAAGTTTTTTCATCTTATTTTTTCTACTAATTCTTTTTACTGCAACGCATATTGTCGACATTGGTTTTTGTTTAATTTGACATTTCACTTTCATTTTGATCGTTGGTTAATTTGTAATGATGATGATGATACACTCGTTTACTAGTTTTACAAAGTTTACTCTAAGTTTATTATTATTATTAAATGCATTTTCCGTTAAAATTATTTGGAAAAGGGAATAAGTAATTAATAATCTCACTTATACTAATAATAATGATTATGTATGGTTGAAGTTATAAAATGTACATATATGTGATGTGAGTAACTTTTTTGAGTTTTTTAACATTTTAAAGAACTTTTATTTGATATTTTTTACACTAAATTAAATTAATGAAAGTAATGAAAGGCCCTATATAGAAAAAAAAATGGAAATGATGATTATATGTTAATCAGATTTAGAGTTGTCACACGATTACTATTGAAAGATCTTTATGATTCCTTCTTCTAAAACTTTTATTGAAACTTAAAATTGTTATCGATATAACCGACAGTTTTGTAAAATTATTTTTTTTGTAAATTGTTAACACAAATCTCATGTCTTACAAGACTACATTCGACAAAGGGTTAAAATTTCTTATTATGTATTCATTAATGTTATCGATTACCTGGGAACCCAAATTCATTTAGAGTCTTTTATTTTATTTTTTATTTAATAATATTTAATCAGTTTTAGACATAAGTGGCTTGAATTAAAACAAAAATGTATATAGAATAATGTTTTAAATAATATGGATTATGGTGATTCAGTTAGTCGAAAACTTATAATGAAACATAATTAAATTTTGATTACGATACAAAATTTTGAATTGATGGCATGGAAAAGGTTTTTTGGCATTTTATAATTTTTCTTTTTGTTTTTCTTTTTCAAATGAGGTAGTTATGAAATATTCATATATATTACAAGATTTTTAATTAGAATTTTCTTTTTCTTTTTTTTCTTTTCGGGATGAAATATGTAAAGTTTAAATTTAAATGAACACCTTGGGTACAATTAAAATATATAAATAATTGTTATAAATTTCTAAGGTAATATTAACTGAGGAGATTTGAGAATGTGTACAGGTTGTGGATTTTTTTTTTTTAAGGGGATACTAATTATGATTAATTTGAAAAGTTTTTTATGGACTTGAAATTCATATACACAAACTTGACAAACTAGTGTGTGTGTGTGTGTGTGTGGGGGGGGGGCTTTTGTGTATGTATGCAATATGTTTTGGGTGAGAATAATGAGCATTACATACAGTAAACATTGAGAGAAACAGAAAAAACTATATAAGAAACCCACAGCCATTGATTTATCATATCAATAACCTCCATTTAAAAATCATCATTATTTATTAATAATATTTAAAAAAAATTAAGTCTTAAAATAATTTAATTAAGGACTTACTTTATTTTATTTATTAGTTGTAAGCTTTAAGTGAAAAAATTTGATTTGAATTTTTTTTGTTTCTCTTCTTCATTGAAATGATTAACAACAAATATAAATAATAGAAATTATTATTATGATTATTTCCGGTGCAGACATGAATTAGTTTGCGTTTTAAATTTGCACGGGTTGTACGGTACTCTCTAGTTGTTTGTTCTGTTTCTAACTTGATTTAAGAAAAAAAATTATTATTATTATTATTATCGTTAAATCAATCGGTCAAAAATTATGAAAAATTATTTTATATATATATATATATATATATATATATATATATATATATATATATATATATATATATATATATATATATATATATGATTAATTAATTTTTTTTTTTTTTTTTACTTTTGACTAATATTATTTCATTTTTTTTTTTTTTACCGGGGATAAATTTTTCTTTGTTGCCTTTCATACCTAGCGGGGCAGAAATAGTTTCAACAACCAAAAAAAAAAAAAAAGAACCTAATAGGTATTATATTCATTCAGACATTAATGATTCATGATTTTCGTTTGAAAAAAAAAAAAAAAATCAAAACTTTTGCCACTCAAATTTTTTTTTTATACCTGCTCTAAAAAATTTGTGTTTAAGGTTTTCTATTTTTCAAATATATATAAATGAACGTGACAAAATTATTTTATTTCGTCAAGTGGATATTAATAATAATAATAATAATGAAATTATTATGTATGTTAAAACATTTACGAAACACGTTTTTCTAAAGATGAGAAATGTTAATCTAAAAAAAACTTTTTATTGTTACTTTTTTTTCCCCCCTTATTCATACGATTAAAAATGAAGTAATAATAATAATAATAATATAAAAAATGTTTCGAAAACAGTCGAATGGAGTCGTTAAAAAAAAAAAAAAAATTTATTATTTATATACGAGTTAAGCGAGGTCGAATACCTGAAAAGAAAAGGGGGAGGGAAAAATGTTCTAAAAAAAAAAAAAAATTATTTTAGTCCTTTTAAAAATGACGTTGGTAAAAAGGTTTTGAAGGGGAAACAAAAAAAAAAAAAACCTTAAATTTTTGTAAAACGACAACAGGTTCTTCGGGTAGGTACGACGACGACGACGACGACTCGTTTTTTTCTTACAATACACATCGAAATGAAATTTGCTATGATGTTCTAATGTAAAATGATACCTTTTAAGGTTTTTTTTTTTTTTTTAGGGTTTTTCAAAGAAAGGTAAATTTTTTTTTTTTCTATAGAAATTTTTTTAGGTTTCTCGCCCCGTGCCTTTTTTTTTCTGTCTTTTAGGATCGGTTGTTAGTCGTTCGATTGTTGTCGAATTATTTAGTCGTATTCGGTTAAAAAAGTTGTTTTCACATCACTCGGTACGTTTGACAAAATCTAAGGGTAATTTTTTGTATTTAATAATAATAATAATAGTAAAAATTTTCACGTAATTTGGGGAGGGGTGGGTTGAAACCCGGATCTACGAAGCAAAAACATTCAATTCGATTTATAATCGTTCGATTGATTTGTTTTTTTTTTTTTCTTTTTTCTTCGAATACTCGAACCTGTTTTAAAGGTTAAAAGAAGGTTTATTATTTTTGGGGGGAGGATTTTTCCCGACAATAAAATTATTTCTGATCTGCTTACGTTGAAACGACGACTTGTCGACTTGTAAAATATCAAATTAATTTTTATTAAAGGCTCACACAAATTGGGATAAAAGGGGAGAGAGGAGAGCGAGCGAAACGGTTTTAATTTTTATATTTAAAATAATAATAATAATAATAATAATAATTAGTTTTTGAATGAGACTAATAAAAGACATGAAAGGGATAGATGAGAGTGTTAATAACGATGGTAGTAAAGAATCCGGGAGATTAACGGCAAATGGCCTCCTTCCAACGCTTAACGAATCGCAAAACGATCAATTCGAAAAAATGGTTCTCCCGTGTTTTTTGCGAACCGTTAAGGGAGGCATGAAATTGTGCGACCTTAACGGATTCAGGTTCATACGAAACAGAGTTGATAGAACGAAAATATATTGGACTTGCGAGCGTAAAAAAAACGAATGTCGAGCCCGGGCCATATCGAACGTTGATCACACGGGAGTTTCATTCAACGAAGTCGATCACAATCATTCGCCTCCCGAATGGGGATCCCATCATCGGTCAAAGAAAAACGTTAAAGTTCGATTGGGGGTGTCATCGCAACCCCACCAAATCAAATACCACGTTCAAGGTAAGTTTTTTTTGAAATTAAAAAGAAAAAATATGGATTATGATGAAGGGAGGGGGGCGGGGGTTGATGTTGATGAGGAAGTGTGTATGCGTGTGGAACGTTTTCACCGAAAAAATCATCGACGATAATTTTTTGTACCTGAATTTTTTTTTTTTTGAAGGTTTCGTTCGGATTTCTTTTGGTGGTCCGGAAATTATTTGTGTCTCGAAATATTTTTTCTCGGGATTTTATAAAAATTTGAATTTATTTAATAATGTCGATGGCCTTCGTTTTTTCAGGCACACACACAAATTTTTTGTTTGTCGTATTTAATGGGTAAAGTTTTTGTCGATCGTAAATCAATTAACCGTATCAAAAAAAAAAAAAAATTTCTCTGGTTTATTGTGTGTGAGAAAACGTTTTCATTGTTTTTTAATCCTTCAGGAATCATATGGGAAGGAAAAACGGGAGGGGGTGAGGAAATTAGGTCATTTAATTAAGGAGAAACCAACCCTTTCCCACCCTCTTGCCACCTATGTAAAATATATGACGATATGCGACGTAGTAGTAGAATATTTTTACGTATTAAAAAAAATTTGACGTGGTAGTAGAAATATTAACGCGTTGACTAATTAAACAGGGATTTTATTTCATTAACCAGAAAAAAAATAAATTAATTAATTTTGGGTTTTTTTTGGGCCACGATTTTAAGACGATGAAATGGCGGCGACATTTTTCCCTGAATTTTTTTTTTTTTTTTTTTAAAAAGTTTCAGTCACGGGTTACTAATAATTTATTTTTTTAAAATTTGAAAATAATAATGATGATGATGATGATAATAAATGATTTAGGGTTGAAATACCATTCGTTGTAAAAATTAATATTTAAAAAAAAGGGGGGGGCCCACGAAGAATCTGCCTACCTAATCTGTCGGAAATTTTTTTTTTTTTTTTTACCTGAAATGATTCGGACGTTAATAATAATAATAATAATAATAATAACAACATTCCGTCGAGGATTTTTTTTTTTTTACGTATGTTTGTTTTTTATTTCAATTTATTTTCGTCGTCAGTGTAGTATTAAGGATTTAAACAAAAGTAACAAATTGATTTTTATCGTTTTCGCGTGAGAATTTTCACTTTTTTTTTTTTTTTTTACTCACGACGGCGGGAAACAAGTTGAAATCGAAAGTAAAATGGAAAAAATTATTATTATTATCTTTGGGGGAGGGGGGAAAGCGAAAGCTTGAAATGTTCGACACACACACACACACACTTGAAGGGGATGATGTTTTTTATAATTGACCTTGAACTTGAAAGAAAAATGGAAAATTTGATTTTAAAACGATCGTAGGAGACATGCCAGTTATTATTATTATTATTATACAATCGTAATTTCTAGAATTTTTTTTTTTTTTAAAGTTGTTGGTTTATGTTTAAACGATGAAAAGGTGGTGGCAAAAGAATTTATTAAATATGGCGGACGTGGAAGTAGCATGTGTTTGTGTGTGTGAATTCACCTGAAAATAATTTATGTGTACCTGTATGTCGGTGTTTCAAAAAATTACGTATATATTTATGGTACGTTTATATACAAAGAATAAGCAGAAGAAAAAATGATGATGATGATAATAATACAGAAAAAGAAAAAAAATTATGAGAATTAAAAATTGTAAATTATTATTTTTAGTTTAATTTTATTATTAAACAAGGAGAATTTTTTTTTTTTTTCTGTTTTTGTTTTTAATATTTTATATTCGCATAAATTTTCTCATGTTTCGATTTTGGGAAAGATATATTTTTAAAAAAAAAAAAAAAAAAAAATGAAAAAAAAAAAACCCCCGTTATATTTTTGTCTCCCTCCTTCTTCGTGCCCCCATCGCTTTACCCCCCTTCATCCTCAGTTCGTTGGTTTTTTTTTTTTTTAAACCTCCCCTTCCCCTTCTCGTCGCTTTTTTTTCTCTCTCTCTCTCCCCTTCTCCCACCTCCCTTATTCATCCCTCCAGTATTTTTTTTTCTATTGCCCCGACGCGAAAAAAAAAAAAAATTTTCAACAAAAAAAAAATTAAAAAAATTTTTCCCGCCTTTTTTTAGCTTATGAGTAACTCTTCCGTTTTTTTTTTTTTAAATATATATAAATTTTTTTTTCTCTCTCATTTTTGATTAAAATCGTTAAAAATATTTTTTTTTTTTTTAATTTGGGGATGGTGTTAAAAATGGAAGAAAAAAAAAAAAATTTTTTTTTTTTATTTAGCGCATGCTCAGTTTTCTCAAATTTCTCAAATCCTCTCTTTCAGCGGGTTAAAATTTTTTATGAAGAGTCGAAAAGTAGCGTCGAAAGTGGTGGATAGGGGGATGAATGTAGAATGGGTAGGACGGTGGTGGTGGTGGTGGAAGTAACCGACGGTAAAGTCGGAAAGATGGGGTGAAATTTTTTTTTGAGGGAACGAGGCAAAGCAATCCAGGTTGGGTGAGAGAGAGAGAGAGGGGGAAAAAAATGATAGGGGTAAGGGAGATAGAAAGAGGTGAGGAGGTAGGGAGGTAAAAAAAAAGCAGGGAAATTTTTTTTTCAACAGTTGTTTTATGTATAACAAATACAAAGAAACTTTTTTTTTTTTCCTGCTTTTTTTTTTTTTTTTTTTTTTTTTTTTTAAGCAGACTAAAATTTAATTAAACGATTTTCATTAAAAAACTGGTAATTGCATTCGCTTTTTAAACGTCGGTTCAGTCTTTTTGAACTCATTCAAAAAAATTTTTTTACAAAAAAAAAAAAAAAAAAAAAATTTTTTTAAGGGAAGATGAAATGGGGTGGGGGTAGGGGGTTGGGGGTGAAGTGTGGCGGGGGGGGAAATCGGTATTGAAAAAAAAAGCTTTTCTCGTCCATTCGAAAATCTCATTCTCTTTCCATCTTTTTAGATTGTTAATAAAAAAAAAAAAAAAAAATTTGAAATTTTTTTCCCGTCACGATTTTTAAGTTGAACCGGTTGTCCGCAAAGGATTGAACGGTCACGACACTGATCTTAGGTTTTGCAACGGCAAATTTTTTGGATAAAAATTTTACAATGGTGGTATTGAATATAAAAATGATCTAAATGCTCTCTCTCTCTCTCTGTAAATTTGTTTTTTTTTTTTTTTTTTTTTTTTTTTTTTTTTAAAAAACCATTCGGGAAAAACAAAATTTTTTTTTTCCCCTTTCTCCCCCCCTTATCCCCCCCCCCCCCCCCCTATCCCGTTTTTTTTTAAATTCCCAAGCATTAGGTCCCTCCCCCCCCCTGTTCCCCCCCCCCCCCCCCCCCTCCCTCTCTCTCTGTCTTTCCCCCCATTTTTTTTTTTTTTTAATACAACGAACGTTCTTCTGGAGACTACAAATAAATTAAAAAAAAAAAAAAATGAAATGAAATGAAATAAAAATATTAAAAAAAATTTCAAACGCCATTTTGACAAAGTTTTTCTATATACACGGGGAGGTTGCCAAAAGTCAAATAGAGCTAATACTTCTTTGAACCTGTTCCAAAAAAAAAAAAAGAAAATTTGCATACTCTATGTTAAAAAGACCTTTTTTCGCGTCATTCGCGTTTATATAAATTATCGCGAGAAATGCATTTTTCCGCGAAAACGTTTTGACGTTTACATACGTTTCGTGTTTACATATGATTCTTTCACGCGGATTTTTCTAGAATTTTTATCCTTTTTTTCCTTTTTGCCTTTTTCGCTTTCCTTTCCTTTCCTTTCCTTTTTTCGTGAGATAACATCAACAAGTGGTAGGTTTGTTATTATTGAAAGAAGAAATGAAATGATGATGACGATCATTCGGATTCTTTTGAGCGACAGCTGATTTCTTTATTATTATTATTATTATTATTACATTTTATTGACGCCTTTCGTAAATGCAAAAATTAAACTTTGAATCGTGGGATTAAATTATTACGTCATCAACGTGAAAAGATTAAAAAAAAAAAAAGGAGACACGCATCTTTTTCACACTCGTTGTTTTCTAATCGCACGTCAAATTTTTTTTTTACCGATTATTATTATTATCATCATCATCATCATTATTTAATGCTTCTTCGTCGTCCAATTATTTTTTTTTTTTTGCTTCCATTCAAATCTCGTACTCAAAAATTTTTTTTTTTTTTTTTTTAAATAAATTCGTGAGGGAAGTTGGGGGGAGGGTTGAAAGGTTGGGGGAGACGAGGGGAGGGAAGTAACGAATTCTTAATCTTTACCCGTCCTTTCCCGAAATTATCCAGAAATTATCGCGTCTGTTAAAATTTTAATTTTATTTCGACAGAATAATAATTTTGAAATAATTATTAATTAATAATTAATTAATTAATTAATTAATTATTATTATTATTGTTATTATTTAAAAAATCATTTTTTGTTTTTATTGTAAATTTTATTTTATTTTTTTTTTGACAATAAGGTGATTTGAAAATTATTATTATTATTATTATTATTATTATTATTATTATTATTATTATTATTATTATTATTATTATTATTATTATTTAAAACGAACAAAGAGTGAAAATAATTGACAAACGTTTAATTAAGCGGAAATTCATTACCGCGAATCGTTTTCAAAACCAGGAAACAATTTTTGGATAAATACAGAGCAAGAGAGAGAGAGAGAGAGATGGGGGGGAGGGGGGAAAGAGAAAGAGTGAGAGAAAAAGAAATGAGAAGAAAAGAAAAAAAGGAAATTTTAGGAAAATTTTTTCATTTTATTTTTATTTTTTTGTTTTTTTATTTATGGTTGTAACGGAAAAACCGAGAGGAAAGCGGTTTAACGGTTAAATAATTTTCCATTTTCCATTTTTTTTTTTTTTTAATGCAATGACTTCAACAACGATGTACTCGTCGTAAAATGTTTTTACGTATGGTTGTTAGGTTTATACACTCTATGAATTTAATTTTAATTTTTTTAATTTTTTTTTTTTTTTTCTCTTCGTTCGAAAATTATTATTATTTTTAAGTGGTTTACGATGAGAGGAAATGCGGATGAGAGGGGAGATGGGAGACGGAAGAGGAGGGGAGTCGGACGATCGCAGGAGCGTAAAAAAAAATGAAATAGGGGAGAGAAAGAGAGAGAGAGAGAGAGAGAAAACGAAATTTAAAAAAAAAATTTTTTATATTTTTTTCGACCCTCGATGAATTGTTTTCATTTAAATTTTTTTTCTAACGTATGTTCATATATATACATAAATTTTTATCCCGTTTGAATAATAATAATAATAATAATAATAATAATAATAATAATAATAATAATAGCAATAATAATAATGTATAAGAGTACACGCGGCGGAACATACATATACACCACGTTTGTGTTCCGCGGTGAAACGCGCCTAATAAAGGGGAAGAAGATACGACCAAACAGAGCGTCGGAAGCGTTACCAACATCGGAGAAAAAAATACAAAAAAAAATATAAAAAAAAAATTAAAAAAAAAAAAAATGAGAGAGAGAAAGAATGAGTGAGTGAGTGAGTGAGTGAACG